AGCAGCAGCAGCACCAGCAGCAGTAATAAACCCCCCAATTTGATCCCATGCCCAGTCATGGCTTTTTTGGTTCGACGTGGTAGAAAAAAGACAGAGCACATCTCATGACCAAGTTGCGGGAGCATCTGCCCGAGGCAATGCTCAGGCAGGAAGCGCCGTTCCATTGACAAGGCCGGCCGTGAGGATCCGCTGCCAACTGCGAACGCTTCACACGCAGAAGGCAGCAAAAAGTTACGCCGGTTACTATCAAGCTCTGTGTTCTGCTCTCGCTCTCTTTTCTTTCGGTTGTGGTCTTTCTTGCCCGCTTGCTTGCGATGAGTTCAGGGGCTTACAGGCTCCACCCACATGGGACTGCTCTTTTGTCCCTTCCTCGGACACATCGGCCGGCACGCCTCGCAACGGACCTGATCGTGGCCCAAGCTCTCACATGAGCCACTGTCCTGCTTCCACGCGTCGCAAGGAGAATTCGCCACTTCTCAGCAGGACGGATGTCGCACAGCCCACTCTACGACTTGACTACACGGTTCTTCAAGTCTTTCTACGAAGAAGCCACGACGTGGGGCAGCACAAACCCTGCACATGCACAAGCCAGTCCGTGTCCAGGGCCCGCCCGCCACAATCCACCTGCTGCTCGAAGCTCCGACGCAAAAACACCATGGCCGCAACTCGACGAGTCTGGACTTGGCCTTGCAGCTCAAGTAAGCCTCGACCTCGAAGAAGTCCTTGTCCGGAGTGCCGTGGTCATGAACGCGGATGGTCATGTTGTTGGCTTTCGGGTTCAAGCCTCAGCTTCGGATAGTTTGAGACGAGTTGCTGAGTGCGGCGTTTAAGAGGGTCTGCAGGCGAAAGCAGCCGAATCCGAACAGACCCGCCCCAGACTTTCTGACAGAGCGCGATACTGGAAACCGAAGTCTCGCTTCACCTTGCCGCCCACGAGCACCGACGCAACGGTCTTGTTGTCCTGCCGGGTCTGCCCCGAAAACTGTACGGAAGAAGGCACATATTCTCTCCTGAAAGGCGAAGAAGGTGATTCCTTTGGCACCCTCCGGACGGTCTTTGGTGATGCGCAGCGTTCCTCAGCGCTGCTGGCAGCGCCTCCCCGCTCCTCAGCCCTCCGCCTCTCCTCTCCGCCAAGCATCCCCAGAACTTGCTGCAGGAATAGCCCGCCAGGTTCATCTCAGCTTTGCGAGGCCCCCCCGCTAGACTGCAGCCCATTACCGCACAAATTCCTGGTGCAGCCGATGACACGTAGAGATCGTTGTCCCCACTGAGTGGCGAGGGGAAGGTGCCTGGATCCAGACGCAGATTCCTCGGCACTCGCTTCCAAAGTTCGCGGCCACGTTCGTTGCGAGATAAGTTGCAGCCGTGGGATGGCAGGGAGCAGCAAGAGCGGGAAGCATCAGCAGCATCCACGGTCGCAGTGAGGGTTCAAGACAAGGTCAAGCTGCCAGTGGAGTTTATTTCTGAAAGGCAAGGCGCACTCCATCTTCGTGGATGCTGGAACTTCCATCGGCATCGATCTGGAAATGCCCCTTCTTGGGATGCAGCCGGCCAGCGAGGTACAGGTCCTAGCAGTTTCAACGTGCAGGTCGCCTTGCGCTGGCGAAGCTCCCGACGCCAGGCAGCCAAGGTCCTTGATGTTCACCACGTCCTGCCGCGCTCTCGTCAATGTTTTATCATGCTTTTCTCTTGCGCTGTCAACTGTCAAATCTGTCAACTTCAAGCAACATCACCGGGTCTGAGAATGCTTAGGTCCTCCTCCGGGTCGAAGCCGGAAGGTATGTTGTCCTTTGCAAAGGGCGAACAGCAAAGGATAGAAAAGGTGCACCCCGAGCTCTCCCACATTTACTGCCTGCGCCGTAGATCGCACTCTTTTGCGACTGGTGGTCATAGTATGGCATACTCATTTTGATTCGTGCAGGTGATGCGGCTGTTGCGGCTTCTTGAAAGTCGGTCGTTGGGCCGTTGTGTGTGTCTCTCGGCGAGTGGCATGACAAAACACCGAATCGATGTGTAGAAACATGCCAGATCGCCGCCACGCTGGGCTCACACATGAGGCCGGCACCGACAAACCCTCCATGTTCCCGCCGGCGAGCTGCCACACAAGGAAAGGCAAATATTGATGGGCATAGAATTCGAGGGAAAGAAGGAGAGGGAGGGAGGGGAGCAAATGAGGGAGGGAGACAACGCCTTCAAGGTCTGGATCTCTTGCCAGACTTCCTGCAAGGTCTGCTTGATCTGGGACACGTCGTTGTTGAGGGAGGCCTCTCCCTGCAGTCTCATGAAAAGTATTGTCAACGCTTAGACATCTCGGCTTCCGAGTCTGCTGCCGTGGTGGTGGCAGGGGCTGACAAGCCCTTGATCTTGATGACGAAGGGGTCGGGAGGAACTGCCTATGAAGCAGACGGCACCAAGGGCTGGACACCAATTTACAATCTGCAGGGGCTCTTAAGAACCAAGGCAAATTACTTCACACGGTCAAGCATTACTAGTAGTAGTTGGCCATGCCCTCCTCCTCCGGGGTCTTGTTTGCGAACGCGGTGTGGTCGGGATGCTTGGTCGTCAAGTTCGATGCCTCGTTGACTCGTTGCTCACTGCCCCGCTCAGACTTGGCCCACACAATCTTGACAGGACCAGCATCTAAGTCCTGCACCGCATCCAGAGACGGAAACTTGATGAATGGGAAGATCGTACCTTGCAGTAGGCGACCAGTAGAACGCGCGGCAATCCTGCTTCGAGGCACAGCGAGATGTTAAATGTGCCGGCGTACTCTCCTCTTGTTCCTCTTTGGGAGCTGGACGAGGTGCCTGAGCCGTTGTCCATGCAGGCTTGTTGTGCAGGCAGTCCGTTCTCCAAAGTCTAAAAAAGCCTTTGTTCAAAGAGCAACAGCGTGGGATAGCGTGGCCCAGGAGTGAGATCAGCCGCCTGCTATCTGCCACCAGAAAAAGCCTCTTGCAGTCCAATCTGATTCTTGAACAGACACTGCAGGGTTCTCGTAGAGCCGCCAGGTCGTTCCTTCGCAAAGGCCAGATTGCATAGGCTGCGGCAATCAGAGGCCAGTTGGCTTTCTTTAGATCAAAAAGTTTAGCTAACTTCCTGTGTATATCATCATGTGAAGCAACATGGACTCAACAGCGTGCAGTCAGAAATCAGCGTAGACCCCAAACAGTGAAAGAGCAGCTGAGCACCTACAGAAGAGGCCGGAGTCCAAAACTGTGGCGCGCTACTGTTGCCACACAGTTTGGGGAAACCTGCGCACTGCCAAGCCAGATCCCTTCAGGCAGGGCTGACAAAGAAACATGCTGCTGGGCTTCCATTCCATGTAGTGGTAACGTTGCCGGAGGCCCGTGGTTCAGAGTCTGCGCGTGAGCCCGTCCGCATGTAGACCTTCGCCGCATCGCCGAACTCGCAGTCGCTCATCTCAGCCAGTGTGTTCTGAGGACGCTTGGAGACCGCTGACGCACTGAAAGCATGTCGGAAGAATGCAAGGTCTGGGTGCCGCGACCGGAAGATCAAGCTTCATCTCTGCCGTTTGATTCGGGAGCCGGTCTCCAAACCTGAATGGTATGACGGGCAGGACTCCAGATTTGGCCACCAGCTTGGCAAGTTGAGTCCCTGTGCACTATGTAGTAGTAGCCACCCATTGGCTGATGCTCTGCGAGTGTGACCTGAGTACACCGCGGAAACTGCAGATAAAGTCGGCAAAGTAAGCAGAAACATCGTCTGTGGCCGCGTACACCTTCACATTCCATCCCATGCTGCCGACAAAGGGGCCGCAGCATATCTGGCATTCGCCACACCAGGGCCATAGAAACCAAGCTTGTTGCCTCAGTTAAGGCGTGTTCCCTCTTCTCTGTCGAATCCTGCCTACACAGGCTCGTATGACTATCGAGATCTCTCGAGCTGTCTCAGAACCGAAAGTGCTTCTGCAGTCAGGAGTCTGTTCCAGATGTCCTTCACGGTCCAAGCCTTAACAAACGAGACCGACACATTTTTCAAACTTCGAGGACTTGTATAAGCTGGACTCTGCCTCTTTCTGTCAAGAAAGGCGGGCAGGCATTCTCTGAAGCAACAGTCTCGCAGCTCCTGCAAAGCAACGGAGCCAAGTAGCTGGATCGCTGGGGTAGTTCTCAGGGTACTCGAAGCCATGCGGCACTGCTCCTGGCAGTACTGCTGGACTCCACAGAACCTCTCAATGAGCCAGCATCTCTCCTTGGACAGTTCCGGCACATGCCACCACCTGCCCAAGCAGTCCGCAATTCCTACTTTACAAAGGGCAGACCTCTACGGTAGACCGGTAGACATTGTCTGAGGCTCGCACTTTTGGGCTGTCTTCATCACTCCTCAGATTGCACGGCACTGCCAGCGAAACTCACATGCTGCCTGGCCGACTTCTGCTGTGAAGGGTCTCTCCAGCGGCATCTTCTGCAGCAGACGTCTCGTAGGAGTTAACCTCGCTCTCCAACTGCAGAAGTTCTTCGTTCAGGCCGCCTCAGCCCATTCAATGGGAATGAAAGCCAAGCACTTGCTTCTGCAAATGCCTCCTGTCATACGGAATCGGCACAACGGGCTTCACTTCACACTGCCAGCATCTAGTGACTCTAGTGAATGTTCCGCGATATGCCCACGGCACGCGTCGCATCCTGCTCTCGCTCAATCGCAGCCCCCCTCCCCAGCAGCCCCAGCCGCCCACCCCCCGCAAACCGCAGCGTTTGAGTGCGGGTAGCCAGGTTTTTCTGGCCCCCTGGCAGCGTATAGAGCTACAGTATGGTTGTCATGAGTCGCAGGAATCAATACTTCCTGGTTGGCAGTCGGTTTTTGTTGGATGCATTGTCCAGTCCTCCCGTGCTTTGCCACGAGTCGGCCCACGCGTCGCCGCTTAAACCCTCGATCTCGTTCATGTCGCACACGTTCCTTCCATACTAACCGCCTGCTGCAAGCTAGCTAGTAGTTAGTAGTGCTTCAAGCTGCTTGTTTGCATGGATGCCCGGCAAATGGGCGCTCACAGAATGACAACTAGAGTGCTGCACGGTGCGCTTCCGAAGCCAAGCCCGAGGCTGGGCTCTCCTTGATCTGAGACTGCTATTGCCCGCCGCTCTGAACGGAGGAGCGCTGGAGCCTCCGCTCTTCTTGGATTTACTCCTTCAGCTGTGTCTCCACTCTGACGCGCCTCTGGTCCGCTCACGTGCCTGGCCAAACACCCACAGTCAAATGTCAAATGGTCTCACAATCGCCACAACCGGGCGGGCCGGAGGTCAGCTATGTTTATGTTACCAACATCGCTATGCATCGCCATGGTGTGGTCAGTTCGAGCAGGGCCTCCTTCCTGGGGCATCCTCAGCGTTCTTGTGCAGCTCCACTGCTTCTCCGAGGTAAGAAAGGAGCACCTTCAAAGAAGCACAGACACGGCCACATGCCGACAGGCTTTTGAAAAAAGTCCGGGCGTCGAGCTGGCGCAACTAGCCATGGAAGCATAGAGCCAAACCTGACATCAGAGAAACGTCCTCGCAGCTCTCATGCCGCCTCCTCTGTAAAGACGAGGCTGCGGCAACGTAGGGTGAGCATGCAAGCACACTCTGACAGACCCACATAGATCTGTGCCACAAGGCCACTTGAGCCGAAGGTTAAGCAGACCATGATGCAAATATCTGACCTTTACGAGCATTATCCAACTTATGCTCGGTCTCGACGACTCGACTCCAAAGCTTGCATCCGTGACATGAGCAGTAAGTGTCAGGATGCGATTCCGACATCCAGCACAGTAAACCCCACAAGCAGTCATAGAAGATTATGTGTCTCAGAGTCTAACGCCAAAGGTGTCCAATTTGTCGTCCCACCGGCGCATACCATGGATTCCATCCACAAATGGAGTGCACCTCAAAGCTTCAAAAACTGAGTCAGGACTGCTACCAGCGTGCACCTGCAGCAGCATTGAGAGAATTGTTCATCGTGCGACTTTAACAAGATGCGGCTTAGGTACGATTGGCCGACCACTCCGGTTCAGCGCCTCAGGTGTGTATGAGACGACCAGTGCATCCTCAAGCGTGAGATAGTCACCCATGGGCGACAGGAGTAAGCACCCAGCTTCCACCAACAGCCCTCAGGTTGAGCCACGATGTCGAAAAACGGGTGGGGTGGACAAGCGGTCTTAAGCGCTTCAACTCGGCCAAGCAGCGATACTTGCGCACGGCAGCACGCTTTCCCTTGTCGTCGCACTTTCCCGACTCCGGATAGCCTTCCTTAGTCTCCGCCAACGTGCAAGAGCCATGCAGGCGAAGTCTGCAAAGCTCTGCCGGCTCCATGCAGCCAGGCAGCCATCGTGTCTCCACCTGAGCTTCCGCAACTCTCAGAGCTCAGAAGCAATCATGCAAGCTGAGCTGGGCACATTCAGGATCTACGCAGCCATCGTTTTTGACGAAGTCGACACCCCAAGAGCCAAACAGCCTGCCGGGCATCAGCTTCTACTTGAGTCGACACTTCAACATCCTCTGCGCTTGCGGATACAAGCAGGGGCAAACGAGGTGCCTGCCATCCTCTGCTTCGTGGCCCATGGATGCGGGTCGGCTCGCACAAGTCTTGTAGCCTTTTCGGCAAAGGCAAAGGCGCGCCGGAGGGCCGAGCCGGCTCTGAGCGGGCCTCGGTCAGTGTAGATCCCGTACTTGAAGCCGAGGCGGTGGAGGTAATCCCCCAAATCCTTCATGCCTGCACTTCCGGGCACTTCCCACTAGTCCGCGAACGTCGGCGACAAGCAAGGAGTCCGGGAGAACACGCAGTCGGGATAGTTGGAATCGGAAATTCCGCTACTGGTAGCTTGATCGGGCTGGCCGAACACGTCGCAGCCCTGCATACAATCGTGCTGCACTCCCGGCTGCATTATGTCTCTACGAAGCACCAGGTGGCAGCGCGCCACTGTAGTATGCAACCGCATTTCACTATGCCACAAAACGTCAAATCAAAAAACAATGCTCCATGTGCTTGCCTAAGCCAAGCAAGACCTTCAACGCCACTCCTGTGTCTGTTCACCCAGCCTGACGGAAAGGCCTTGCGATCTGCCATTAATGTGCCATCTGCCTTGGAGAGCAGAGTAGGGGTCTGAGTACCGAGGGCACTGCACGTTGCAAGTGCACCGGCGTGTTGGGCCAATGCTTGACATGAAAACAAGACGTGGCTCCTCTCGATGGGTCCTCCCCCCAACCTTCCAACGTCCCGTTGTAAGCGGTCTTAGTCTCGCTTTCGTACTGACTGTACCCCTACAGTAACACCTCTCCTAGCTCATCCTGGCTCTCTGCCTCTTTCTCACACTCCTCCTCTCCCCCCTCGCGCTCGAAAGCAGTCCGGGCAGGCACCTTCATGATCTTGCAACACTTTACTTTTTGCAGGCCCAAGGTTTCCAGCCTGAACAGCCTCCTACAGCGCTTGTGTGAGAATCTCCGCACCGTGATCGGTGATGAGAATTGTGTGCTCCCATTGGGCCGCCCAGTCGCCTCTCTTTGTCAGGATGGTCCAGCCATCCTCCAATGCTGGTCGGATCGTGGCATCACGACCCTCAATGTAGATGGGCTCAATGGTGAAGGTCATGCCTGGTAGAAGCTCCAGATCAAGAGAATTCTGCACATGGCTGACATTCGGCTGCATGTGTAGCTCGCTCCCAATGAAATGGCCGCAGAATTCTCGCACTGTGTTGAGGCCTTTGCTTTTGCCAAGGCTCTGACACCAATGCCCAATCTGATTCAACTTGATTCCGGGCCCTACCTTCTTGATGACTTCCTCCAGGCACATCCTTGTATCTCTTACCAAGCAGTATGCATTATGTTCCAATTCACCAATGCAGGCCATGGCGGAGCAGTCGCCATAAGCTCCATCCAGGAAGACGGTGACGTCAAAGTTGACGATATCCCCATTTTCCAACGGCCGGGTATTCGGCACTCCATGCAGGGCCACCTCATTTGGCGAAGCGCAAAGGCCGCGGGGGAATCCATAGTAGTTGATTCCCACCGGATAACCACCGCGGGAGACGATGAACTCGCTGGTCTTGCGGTCAACCTCGTCGGTTGTCACCCCCTCCTTTGCGGCATCGCAGGCCACAACCAAGGCTTCTGCTGCAAGACCACAAGCACTTCGCATCTTGCTAATCATGGCAGGTGATTTTCGTTCGGCGTATTCTTCCGGCTTCAAGGCTCGTGGGATCCCTCGCGGGTGATCGGCGTAGGAAGGGCGCGGGATGTGATTTGGCACGTGCACTGGTGGAGGTACTTCATATCGGCTCAGTGGAAAGGCTGGAGAGTTTGGCCTTGTTATCTGGGGCAACTCATGGGCAGGCAAGCTGCTGCTAGCTTCACCTCGGCACAGGACTCTGGGAAGTACGCACCTGGCCCATTTGCGAGTGCTCCCTCGCAACATCTCGGAGAGAGCTGCAGAACAAGATACCCCTTTGTACTGCATGTTGTCTTGGTCACTGGCAGTCTAAGCTTCAGTCGAGACATGAACCTGAACTCGTTGCATCTTGTGCTTGCCATTGCTTCTAGCCAAAAAGCTCGGCTGGCGCGCAAGGCACAAGGATATGTCGCAGAGCATAGGCAAGGTGATGCACATCAGCTGGGGACCAAGCAGCTCGGCTGATCATCCAGCCTCAGCCACTCGGACGAGGCAGGCAGCCATCCTTCCTTCCTGCCTGCCTGCCTTCCTGCGGTGTGGGGGCGTGGCAGTGCAGGCGCCCGCGTCGGAGTTTCGACATACCACCCCAAACCAGCTGGAATTTGCTCATGGCAAATTGACTGCGCTTTGCAAGTCTTCGGGGCTACTTCGAGTGCCCCCACTTCAATCATCACACACTCGTCGCCTGCATCAGACACCACATCACAAGCCTGCAACTTTCAAAAACCTCGGTTGGGATCCCTTGTACAAGTGCCCACTTGGGGCTTTCCGAGCCTCTGGTTAGAATCGACTCAACATCCGGCTCTGCAGTGCAACCAAAAGGACAGTCGTCGACAACGATGTACTCGTATCCCAGCGCCAGCAGGCCCACGTGCTCGATCTTGTCCTGACGGAGGTTGCCCGGCAAACCCCGACAGAGTTTTGTCAGCATGTAGTTACTTCCTGCAACAGCACGGGCTAACACTGCAACCGAGAGTCGGCAATGGCCTCGGATGCTGAATGACCCTCGTCCTACTCACATCTGCCTTCTGGCCTAGTGCCGGTAGCAGTCATGCGATGAACGTGGCTCTGGCTTGAATGCGGTTTTGCACCGAGATGCCTTAAGCTTCGCCTCCGATGGCCGGCACTCCAAGTCATTCCAGGAATTGTAGCCCATAGGTGGCTTGGAGGCGATGCCATCCTTGCGATGCATGGGGGCGATGCCACCAGGCAAGGGTTCTGATACGAGCCTCAAAATGCTTCCGGGCCGGTGCCCTCTCTGAACAGAGCCATCTCTGTACTTCCCGAAAGTTCATCCCTTGCATGTCGGGCACCTGCCCGCACAGGGCCCGTAAGACAAGCAGACCCGCGCTGCCACTTCCCCAAGATGAATAGAAGACCAGCAACGTCGGGAAGGCCGCCGGCTCCGAGGAAGTACACCTCATCTCATCATAAGGCTTGGTCTCGCATGTCTCATCTTTTTGCAACTCCTAAGAGTGATCGAGAACCGCCTGGCAAGTCTTGCCTTGCAACTGACAGCGGTGACGCTGCTGAACGTTTCCAATCTTCGGGCAAGCGGCTGCGGACAGGAGGTATCCCAGCAAGGCCGAGACCCTTCTGTGGGCCATGCTGGCTCCATGGTGTCCATCACGGCGGTGAGGCCGAGAGGACAAATATCTAAAGTCTCGCGGGGACTATGGCCTGACAAGGTGCTGCGCGGCACCCTTCGAGCTGGTGGCCGAAGCCAGGCAGTCTCAACTCTCAACAAGTACATGCGAAACAGCTCCATTTGGCGTCGCATTTGGGTATTTCATGGTTACTACAGTTGTGGCTCACCTGTGCCGCAAACGGGTGCTGCCTGTAGCGAGAGGCTCTGAAGTGATCGGCTGCTCTGGAGCCACACGCGAGAAAATGGGGCTGAAGGGCTGCAAACTGCAAGCTCAAGTGAGCTCCCTGGCACCTCCACACCTGCGTGGAATACGCCTCCAAACCTGCAGGCCAACATCACTTGACAGACTTCAGAGTCTGATTCCGAAGAGAATGTTCCCAGTAGCGGATAACCAAGCCCACAGCTTCACGGGCAAACGCTTGTTCGCCAAGACCTGCAGAGGTCATAATATACCGCATGCCGCACGCCACGTGTTTCTGCATAACTGCAGGCCACATGCCCTGCCTTGTTCAGACGCCGTATACCAACTTCTTGTGTCACCTCTGGAAAGGGCGAGTTCAGCCGCAGACAAAGCATTGCGGCGCGGGAGTGGCTGAGGTCTCTGCATCATAGATGTGCACGAAAACGGGAAAACAGCCCTCCACCTGGCCAAGGCTCGCCTCAAGGACTTGCACGCTGCCTTGCGGAAAGCGCGGACACCTCGCCATTGCCATGGCCCGTCGTGGACAGGGGCCTAAGACGGACGGCACGGGCTTCCCTCTTGATTCCGCAGCCCCAGCCGAGGCGCCCACAGCATTGCCGATCTGATGAAGGCACGCTCTCTTGCTGTTTTCCCTGCCACTTCACCTCCACACTCCCGCACTGTTGCGTCTACTCGGACATGCACGGCATCCTTCCTGCGCAAAGTTGGCGTAGGTCTGAGTCCGAGAATTGGCGAAGCCTCCCAGGATAGGCTCGCAGATGGCCCCCGCTGACAAACATCCGAGCCCTGTTGGAAAAGATCAAAGGCAGCTGTCTTGCAGTCCCGAGCCCCTCGAGCGACCTTCTCAAATGCTCCACATCTTCTTTGTCCAGGCTTTCGATGAGAGGTCTCGTCATGGTTGTACTGTCCTCCGGCAGCTGCGTGGCATACTTCATGCGGCAACTGCTTGAATCATGGCTCTGCCACGAGATGCCACCAGTCTAAACTACGAATGGACGTGCACACAACCTTCGTCACCGCCGCACCTCACCTTGCCTGGTCTACGTTAGCAGCCCTAACCGCGCACCACAGCGCGCGTCGTCCTGGGTGCCACAGGTCGGCTGAGCGGCCGGAGCGGCCAGAGGCTCAGGTGCTCCTCCAGTCGGCTCGAAGCGGAAACGCTGCGGTCTCTGCACTGCAATGCACTGCACAAGACAAGTCACAGAGTATCCTGGACTCGGTGCCAACGGTAGCATTGCCGAGCGCATCCATCCGGCCTTGCACTCTGGAGCCTCGACACTCAACATGAGGCAGGCGGGAGTGCTGTCACGCGTGGAAACGCACGAGCCGGGCACAAGGAGCCCATTTCCGAGTCTATGGCCAAACCACCGGCACAGATGTCTGCGCTCAAACTGAGCATCGCAGTCCGCATGTTTGCTTTCTCAACATCCGCATATCCAGAACCTGGCACGGCATGCAAAGACGACAGTCCAGAATGGCTCTGGGCTACCCTCTTCTCCTCTACCTGGTACCTCATTCTGGAGATATGGAGAGAGCAAACAAAGTGTCAGTGGACCGCTGCTCTTCCCCGATTGAGCGACAGGCCTTGGGAGTCCAAGAACTCAAAAGCTGGAAGACTGACTTTTCCAAAACTTCACAACTTCACACGCGTCCGACATGTCCCAGCGACGGATCAGAATCGCCCAAAGCCTCGGCGGCCTCGACCTGGTCCAAGGCCTGGCTCGGCAATCGTGCGGCGGCTGGGAGCTGTCTGCTTATTTTCCTGGGTGGCTCATATGTGATGTCTTGATTTTCTTTTCAGGTCGAGAGAGAGAGAGAGAGAGAGAGAGAGAGAGAGAGAGAGAGAGATGCCCAGCCAAAGCGGCGAAGCCTCCGCAGCCAAGGAGTCCACGTTTGGACGCCGCAGGCCTCTGACTTTTGTTCAGTTTTCAGTGTCTCGGATTGGAAAAGAATGGGCGCTCTCGGCTCAAGGCCTGGCTGCGAGGGAAGTGGAAGCCCCTTGCTGGCGTACCTGAGCCACGGCCAGAAAGCGCCAAAGGGAGGTCGAACGCCACAAATTGGCCAAGCCCTCCCATATGTCAGCCACCCCACGGCCAACTGTGTCTAATTCTGTTGGTACAGCAGGTGGTTTCCCTTTGTTGGAATCGGACTCTAGAGCCACGTGACTAGCAGACTAGCAGCAACTTCTTCCACGAAGTCGGAAGGGATCGGATCGGGCCGGGACATGCTCTCGGCCATTGGAGGTGAAGGCCCGATGCCCAGATCCAGAGCCTGCAGAATCCCCCCCCCCCTGTGCTGCCGCCCTTTTTTTTTGCAGGACCTGGGGAGCCTACCGAGGCTCAGTCTGCCGGAACCAGAGAGAGCTACGGCGCTTTACACTCGCTCGCCTGCCGGAGATGCCCGGCTAGCATCGTCAACTCCTGGTCCTGGGCAGGGAGCAGGCTCCTCCCCTCTAGGATTCAATCTAAAGGAGCTTAGGAGACGGCGGCACGTCACAAGCAGAATCCAGGCCCGGCCTCAGAGGCCGAAGTGCCCGAAACCGAAGTGCTTCCTGGCGAGCATCGAGCAGCGGTGCCATTCCGCTGCTCCCACAAAGCCAAGCGGAACCGCTCGAGCTTTCGCTTGCAAAGCCGGGCTTCCCATCGGGAGCGGTGAGACGGTGAGACGCAGCCGCAGCGGCATTTCGAGGTGCGAGGTAATGGCCCGCTGCAGAGGCAAAATGAGTGAAACAGACGCTGTCCTACCTCATGTGTGGCAGCGTACTCGGTGCGGAACGAGAATATTTCATCGATTTCTGGGCTTTTAGCCGCTTCTCCATCTGTACTAAAGCATCCGCAATCTCACCTTAGGACAGCACAGGAGTCCCGGTTTGTCAAACCGTGTGAAAGGAGCCATTCAAAGCCTTTGAGCTGCCCGACCGAGTGGCTGTGACCGCGGCTCTGTGCGTACTTCTTTGAGGTGGCCGAAAGCTCGACCGCGCCACCTAACCTGAGCGCTTTCGGGATGCTTCCGGGGGGGCTAAGAGCACGAACCGAGAGTTGCAGATACAAGTCATCCGAGTGGCGCCAGCAAGGTCTCTACACAGCTGTCGTTCCCTCTGCGGGCAGCTTCGTGCAAACTGGGGTGGCCGGAGTGGTTCTTCACCTGTAGACATAAGAGGCCGGGAGACGATCACTCGTGCCGGTGTTTGGGCCCATCTCGGTCAGGCCTTCACAAGATCCGGAAGGCGTCTGGCCAGCGACTTGACACAGCCGCGTCGACCGAAGCGCGCAGCAATGTGCATGGCCGTATGTCCATCCAAGCCTGGGCTCTCCGCCAAGGAGCCAGACATGCCCCCTATGCGACCCCAGGCCCTCATGCAACCGAGGCACTCTGCGCGGTCAGCAGCTGCTTTGCCATGTGCGTCTTCAGCCTCGGCTCACTGAGCACCCCAGGGGTAGCCAATGAATCAGCAAAAAAAAGTGCAACGATAAGACTAATAGTGAAAATGGCATAGTGATACTAATCAGCAGGCCAATGACAGCAGCAACACCAGCAACCACAGCACCAGCAGCAGCAGCAAGAGTGGCAATAGTTGGAATTAGTAAGTAACCACGGCAGCAAGAAAACTATGACCAGTTGTGATAATCATGACAATAATGGGCAGAGAGATAGTAAGAGTAAGCGTAAGTTTTAGAAGTTTTGGATCCCGTAGGCTAAGCCCGAAAGCCAGCTCAGCAGGTAACGAGAACATCATGGCAAGCGCAGTAGGAGCAGCAATAGCGCAGCAGTAGTGATGGTTATAGTAATGATATCAGCAACAATATCAGTATAATCAAAGCAATAGAATTCGTAATCGTAATGCCAGAACTGCACTAGTAGTTCTCAGGAGCAATAGTAATGGTAAGTAGCAGTTAGTAATTCGTAAAGGGTGATTTGTCATTAGGAACTAGTAACAGCAACTCGAAAAGGCAATAGCAATTGAAATGGTAATGGTAGTAGAAACAATCAGGGTAACAGGAATAACAGCAGTGACAGTCATGCTGTTGGCATCGCTATTAGCATTAGAGTTAATATTACTATGACCATTGCTATTATTACCAGTAACGTTACAATCTCCATTACCATTCCCACCATTACGGTTACAGCAGAATCAGCAACAGTAACAACAGTGATAATGGCAAGCGTAATTTGAGTAAATAGCACATCGCTCATAGCACACAAATCAATGCATAGTGATGCTGGTATATGCTAGTAAATAGTAGCTGATAGTTAGCAGCTGCGCGGCACCATCGCTGAAGAGCGAGCGTCGGGCGCGACGGTGATGCTCCAAGCACATCGCAAGCCCGAGCCCGCAGTTAGTAGCTAGCAGCAGCAACAAATGAATAGCAACTGGTAACTGGCAATTAGCGATATGTCGTATGTGATTCGTAAATCGTAAGTACATGTAAGTAGCAACTCGCTACGAATATTTCGTATCTGGAAGTTAGTAGGCTCGCAATGTGTAACGAGTTACTGTTGGTAGTCATAACATAGCAAGTCGTGAAAAAGCTGCTTGGGCCTTCGCAATTAGCTATTCGTAGATCATCCGTAAGTAGTAATTGGAAATTTAGCAGCAGTAGTAGTAGTAGTAGTAGTAGCAGCAGCAGCAGCAGCAAAGTAGCAGTAGCAGTAGCAGCAGCAGCCGCAGCAGCAGCAGGAGGAGGAGGAGGAGTAGTAGTAGTAGTAGTAGTATAGTAGTAGCACGGTGGATTGCAAAAACCTTGCACCACCTATATGCACTGTTTCGGGTACACATCCGAACAACAACCTCGCACCCCTTTTTAACATTGACGACAGATCTCTTGGGGTGGTGCGAGATTTAAGGAGTTTGCAAAACCCCGTGTTCATGGCAATGTAAGAAGGGGGCGCGGGGTGAAGCTACACTGAAGCCACATAACATTTCTTAAAAGCGGTGCATGATTTCCTCCATCCACACTAGTGGTACATGCACTAGTACAGGTACTAGTAGTATAGTAGTAGTACTAGTAGTACTAGTAGTACTAGTAGTACCACTAGTGGTCGTAGTAGTAGTAGTAGTTGTTGTTGTTGTAGCAGCAGCAGCAGCAGCAGCAGCAGTAGCAGCCCTAGCAGTTTGTTGTTGTCGTCGCTGAATTTTGGCACCCATCTAGAAATCCCGCCACATGGTAGTGGCGACAGCAACAGAAACAATAACAGTGGATAGTCTTATGTCGTCCGCATCCTAGCTCCTCTTGGGATTTTGGGGTATGAATAAAACGTGGAAAAAACGTGAATACAAACGTGAAAAAAACCGTAACGGCACAGTCACAACTCACAAACAAACATAAAAAAAAAACGTGAAAAAAACGCACAAAAAAG